CCCTACTTTGCAAGCGGTTCGTGAAAAAGGTTATATTAAAGGTTGGTAGGAGAAGTAATGTTTATAATAATGAATATTGGCCAAAATCAGAAATAAGATGTTTCAAATTAAATACCAGAAAATTCTCAAACAGTAAAAATGTTCTTGTTTTTTATTCATAAAGTTTTCAAGTACAGTGATTAAAAGACATGTAAATAATTAAAATTGATATTTTAATGCACATGTAAAGTGTAGTTTAACTAAAGCATTGAACAGACATAACAAACCAAATTTTTAGAAACCCTGTATCAGAGGAGCTACACAGATATGATGGGTGTCAGAGTTTTAGAATTTGTGACAAGAGTTTTAGTTTTGAGAAATAAAGATCAGAAGAAATTAGAAATTTTGAATGAACTATCACTAACAAAGTAGTAGAAAGAAAAAAATGAATGAATAATTCTTGATTGTTTGCTTTTGGCTCTCATTTAAGGTAATTATTAAATTAGTATAAGGTGTTTTTTCCTAATTAATTTATACATTTGGTATTTCATTTATAAGCACCATAATATACTAGCAAGATTTTTTTCTTAATAGGAAAATATTCTTTAAAATCATTTATACTCGCATATGCTTTTAGTTCTTAAAATCATATTTAATTTCAAAGGTAAAATCTTTCAATACATGACTAAAAACAATGATATTTATTCACAAATAAAAGTAAAGGTAATATAATATGTATATATTATGTCTCTGATTTTGGGACCATCACTAGAACATCTGTTTTCAAAGCATCCAAGCTAAAATCCACAACTAAGTTTCATTAAAAAGATGCTTAAGACTTCTGGGAAGAGTTTATCTAATTAAGTGATTCAAATTAGTAACCTTAAGAGTTACAGATAAGCATACAAGTTCGCACGAGTTTAGAGCCTTTTCTTAATTAAAAAAAAAAAGGCCTGAAAAATAAATGAATTTAACTACTGTTAATTTGTTCACCAAGCTTTTTCATTGAGAAATAGAAACTGTTGTCACTTTATAGCCTTATTCATCATTCCAAATATTTTGTTTGTTTTCCTGAATATTTAGCCCTAATGTGGAATTTCAAAACTGTTGGGTTAAAAGATTAATAGAAGAGCCTTTGAAATACATTTTGTGAAATCAAATGTTGGCGCATGATGGGCATGCATCTGCTTGTTTAAATAGTTATAAAAATATCTACTAAGTGCTAGGCATGAGACTAGAGATGGTGTGAACACCGATTGGCGTTCAGGAGCTACACAGTCCCTGCCCTTGTGAAACTTACACTCAAGGAAGAGACAAGCAAAATAATTTCAAATAGTGACAAATACCTAGAATCTAATGTGGTAATAAAATAGAGAGTGACTGGAATTGGTTTATCTTAATCACAGGAGTTATATAAGTTGGTGACATTTTAGTTGAGACTAGGAGTGATGAGAAGGAGCCAAATTTGGAGGGCAATTGCTTTCTGTAAAAGGGAGAGAAAGCACAAAGCTTCTCAGACAAGAATGAGTTGGGGTGTTCATGGAGTTTAGTAAAAGAAGGAGAACTGTTTAAAGTGGAATTGAAGAGTAGGCAGGGTGCAGATCATACAGGGCACAGGTCATGGTAAACAAGGCCTGTATACACTGGATGTTTTCTGTTATACTCTGAATGGGTTATTTAGCTTTTTCATGAATTAAATTTTAGCAAAGTGGTTCATTTTTTAAAATAAATCTTTTTCAGATCAGGTATTTGGATCCAATCTTGCTAGTCTGTGTCAGAGAGAGAATAGCACAGTGCCAAAGTTTGTGAAGTTATGTATCGAACATGTTGAAGAACATGGTCTGGATGTTGATGGGATATACAGAGTAAGTGGCAACCTTGCAGTGATCCAGAAGCTACGATTTGCAGTGAATCATGATGAGAAATTGGACTTGAATGATAGTAAATGGGAAGATATTCATGTTATCACTGGAGCACTGAAAATGTTTTTTCGAGAATTACCAGAACCTCTTTTCACATTTAATCATTTTAATGATTTTGTTAATGCAATTAAACAAGAACCAAGACAGCGAGTTGCTGCTGTTAAGGACCTAATCAGACAGTTGCCGAAGCCAAATCAAGATACAATGCAGGTTCTTTTCAGACATCTCAAAAGAGTTATAGAAAATGGAGAAAAAAACCGAATGACCTATCAGAGTATAGCAATTGTTTTTGGTCCTACTCTATTAAAGCCAGAGAAAGAGACTGGTAATATAGCAGTTCATACTGTGTACCAAAATCAGATTGTAGAATTAATTCTTCTGGAATTAAGTTCCATCTTCGGACGTTGATTCTTACTGAAGAAAACCTGCGGAATAGAAGCTGGATTCCATCAGATTTCAAATCTTTATACATAATGTATTTTATTTTTTGGACCAAGCAGTGACTTTTGATTTTGCACTTTTTTGAGGGATCAGAAGGGAAGGGAAGAGGCCCTCATATTTGCTGCTCTGTTGCGAGTTGATAGAACTGTGTGTGATTTTGAATTCATTCTATCCTGAATGTTTGCATTTCATACTCTGAATTTCAGTAAAAAGCAAAACTTACAATTCTAACCAGTCATATACACTGGATGATTTGGTAAGAAAAGTACATTTTTTTTTCTCTCAAACTGGATAATGTAGAATTTCTTCTCAATATCTATAGGTTCATCACTTGATAGAATACTTACTATCAGTTATTTTGAAAATGCTCTTGGGCATTTTAAACAAAATGAAGTATATTTGTTTTAAAACCTGTGTATTTCTTTTTCAGGGTTTGTGCATGTAGTGGCAATCTAAGTGCTAAAATTCACTATAACCCCAAAATAATCCCCTGATGAAGGCTTGCTGTCTTTTTATTATGTTGCACAGCATCCTTACTGGGTATCTTAGTTGCTTGTTTGAGCAGCACACTAACGTTACTTAAAACACTGTGAGGTACTGGAGTTTTAGTTAGCATAAGTCAGTTCAGGACATTTTGGGCTGTCTTGCTGTACTGAATTGTAGCTAACAATCCTAATTGTATCTAGTGCCATACTGAGTTTTGGTATGACCCTGTGGAAACAGACATTATTTGATGTAAATATAGGCTAAAGACTTCATGTCCTTTAGCTTATGTATATAATCATGTTGTATAGTCTCAGAGTACATTCTAACCATACATTTCTAATCACAATAATGGTAATCTTTTCCATGAATATTAGGTTTGCTCCAGAAATAGGCTGTTATTTGGGAAAGTTAACTGTGTGCACTTTTAGATATTAATTACATTTACAGGTAAATCACTGTAATGCTAATGGTACTGGAAAAATACTGAATAGACTTGCTAAATGGTAAATGCACTACAAGGGGAACCTTTTTAGATTATTTAATATGTACAGAAAACATTAGAAAAAATTTATCATAGAATTCTAACTCTCTAGTATGAATAGTGGAAACCCATATGTAAATTAGATGGTTGTTGGATGGAAAATTACATTGCTAAATTTAAGAATTTCTTTTTACATACTAATGTAGATTGATTTGTATAATAAAACAGGGTTTGGAAGGTTTTGTTACAGGGAGCATGGTCTGTTGAAGATTTTTTTAAATGTATTTTTCTAGATTAACTGCTGTATACGAAATGTCTAATAAAGAAAACTATAAGAGATTTAGAGATTTTTCCATTGGAACTGTGCATTTTGGTTTTTAATGTTTTTGTTTTTGCATTTACTGGCATACTCTTATACCTCATTTTAGAAAATCAACTGAATCCACTATTTCCTGTGGCAAATACAATTTCTCATTTTATACATTTTCTCTTCCCTTCCATGCCAACACCTCTTCTACCCACAATTTGGACTTTTTATTTCTTCATCAGTATTTGAAAGTGAATGGTTTGTGACTAAGATTCTTTTTCTTAGGATTGCATTTATAATTTATAGGTGGCCTTCCTTAGGAACAACTATTTTTTGTATGATGTATCTTAAAATCCTCCCTCCTGAATTTTGTGGTAAAAATATTGTGTTTGTTGTTATGATCTTGTTAAATTAATAACAACCAAACTACCTGATAGCTAAAGCAGGTGGTTTTGGGTGGGGAGAAAAAGCCCCAAATCAGAATGCTTATATTTGCCTAAAGGTGTCCTTAATAATACAGTAATGCTTTCGGGCTGGCTTATGTTGTGATTGTATACCAGTAAAACAATTAGACTCAAATCAGTGATGTTCTTTCTCTTGGTGGTCATGAACATATCAAAGATTAAAATTGTCCTGTGTTTCTTGTTTCAAAGTACATATGTGTGTATGTGAAGTCTTAAATGTGTTCCTAGTCTGCAGCTAATTAGTTTATTGTAATATTATATGTACAGTGAGATCAATGTCTTGTGTTTTCATCCTTTGTGAATTAAAAATTCTCACTTGTTTTTGTAATAACAAAACCAGTTATATTTTCCTGTCTTGACAGCTTGATTTTATAGTAGAAAATATATTAAAAGCTAAAATAAATTGTCAGTGGAATTTCATTTACTAATAGGCCTTCCTTCATAGCATCATTAAAAAAGGTACTTGGAAATTGAAAGAAAAAGTATATTCAAATACATTATCACATTCCAATTAGGAGAAAACTGCTTATTTAAATTTTATAGCAGTGAAAAATTTATCTTTTACTCTGGAGAAACAATGAAATATCTCTGAAAAAATGATATTACATTTTAGATAGAGACAAATCTATAAATTTTTTTTCTTATGTGAAAAGTACAAATGTAGGCCGGGCGCTGTGGCTCACGCCTGTAATCCTAGCATGTATTGTGTAGAGCATTCAGAATGTGGATGAACAGCCGTATTGGCTTCAGTTGTTTGGGGCGTTGTTTTTGGTGGTTGTGGTGGGTGGAGCCTGACGGAACCATGTGTCCTCTTGTCCACTTTGTGATTACTTACACTCAGGAGAGAGCATAAGCGATGAGAGATTAAATTTTCAATGTGACATTGTCTTATGGAAGTTTTCTATTGTGGTATGGTTATAATGAGGTATGATTGTGTTTGACTTGAATTTTTGTTGTATTTCATTAATCACAGGTAGTTTTATATACATAATGTTTTGGTGTATGCGGATTTTTTAAGTTATGGGAGACAAAGTAGGAGTGAATGAGAAGGAGCCAAATTGGAGGGCAATTGCTTTCTGTAAAAGGGAGAGAAGCACAAAGCTTCTCAGACAAGAATGAGTTGGGGTGTTCATGGAGTTTAGTAAAAGAAGGAGAACTGTTTAAAGTGGAATTGAAGAGTAGGCAGGGTGCAGATCATACAGGGCACAGGTCATGGTAAACAAGGCTGTATACACTGGATGTTTTCTGTTATACTCTGAATGGGTTATTTAGCTTTTCATGAATTAATTTAGCAAGTGGTTCATTTTTAAAATAAATCTTTTTCAGATCAGGTATCTTGTC